AAGTGGTATCAAAGCGGTTACCTTGAACGGTAAACATTTTACTTTTACTTGTGAATGCCGGTGAACACATTAATTTATATGTAATTAATAGTAAATGCCGGTAAACACTTTTTATAATAAAAGCTAATGTTGATCTTATAAGTTTAAATTTGTTTATTTATTTTGCATTTAATGTTGATTTTGGTTTTAAATTTTCTTAACTAAGTTTGTTCTCACTTGATTCATCATTATAATATATATATACTTAGCTATTGTTAAAAATATATTTCTTCAAAACTTTAATCATTTTAAATAACATTTATATTTATATTAATAATAATAAAGTTTCTATCTCAATTATAAATCATTTTAATTAAAGTGATAACGAAGTGATAATGTTGCACAAGTAATTAAAAATAAAAAATCTTTTTATTATTATATTGTACATAGTCTGATCCCTATAAGCTAGGTTTTACATACTATATATCATTTCTGACGTTCGCGCTCACAAATCACAATATATATATATATATATATATATATATATATATATATATATATATATATATATATATATTTCATGTACTCCCTCCCTATAACGATTAATTCGATCATATCATTATATTCTGGCGGATAGATCTGCACTCATCGATCAGCTATGGACGTCGAATCATCGGTAGATCTTGCATTCTTTACTTTTCTGCCATTATTATTATCATTTTTTGTTCTTGTTAATCTCAACAGTTAGTTACTTGGTTATAAATTGAACATTCTGAAATTTTTTTTTTTTTTTGCGCTTAATGGTTTTTTTTTTAATATATATATTTGAATAAATGTTTTAGGCATATGAACAACTAAAAATAATACATCATCAGCTCTGGACACCATACAGATTGATTTGGTAATAGTTAGAATGAAGCTGTAATTTGACTTAATAAATAGTACTCTGTATAAGATTATTTATTTACTTGCTTGTGTTCTTAGCTTAGCTTGTACTCATTCATATTCACCCTCATATGATGAAATGGTTAACGTGATTCCTAAACTTTATTCAATTTAAAATATTTGTTATTTATATTCATTTCTTTAGTTTAATTTTCCGTTATCATTTTTGGATTGCAAGTTATTTTAGTGGGTTATCAATTAAACAACAACTTCACAATTATGCTTCTATACATACTTCATCAGTTTGTCATGGACAATCAAATTAAAGCCACAACGCTTACCACAAATTCGATCAATCACACGAAAACCTGCCCTTTCTTGATGCCAAACTAACACACACACACACACACACACACACACACACACACACACACACACACACACACACACACACATATATATATATATATATATATATATATATATATATATATATATATATATATATATATATATATATATATATATATATATATATATATATATATATATATATATATATATATATATATATCCACACTTTGAATATCATATCCATTTTCAATCCACACAGTGCATTGCATGTTGGTCTAAAAGTTGGACTAGATAGATAGGGATGGAATACGTACCTGTTTTCTAATATTTTTCTTGAGTGTTTTTGATCTAATATTAACCACTTGTGAATGCCGATGAACACATTAATTTATATGTAATTAATAGTGAATGCCGGTAAACACTTTTTAAAATAAAATCTAATGTTGATCTGATAAGTTTAAATTTATTTATTTATTTTACATTTTAATGTTGAATTTGGTTTTTAATTTTCTTAACTAAGTTTGTTTTCACTTGATTCAACAATCAATCAATATAATATATAGCTAGCTAATGTTAAAAATATATTTCTTGGGAACTTTAATCATTTTAAATAACATTTATATTAATAATAATAAAGTATCTATCTCAATTATAAATCATTTTAATTAAAGTGATAACAAACTGATAATGTTTCACAAGTAATTAAAAACAAAAATTCTTTTTTATTATTATATTGTGTTTGTCCCGGTAGTGTTATAGCAAGAGTCTAGAAGGGGGGGGGGGGGGGGGTGACTAGACTCTTTTCGTCTTTCGCTAAAAGATCACCTTTCGGTGTTTTAATGCAGCGGAATGGTTGCGTTTGTTTTACTTGCTTTGCAAGTTTTGATGCTAGTAAAGTTACTTTCGGTATGAATGAGGATAATGATGCAATGCGAAAGAAAGTACGATAAGTAAGAGATAGGGAGACGAGAGTTTTTATAGTGGTTCGGCCAACTTTGCCTACTCCACTCTTCTTCCACAACCTATGGAAGGTTTGCACTATCACTCGCTAGTACAAATACACAAAGACTTCCTTGATCTCTAAGCCGGACAGTCTTCGTAGGTTTTTCAACTCCAAGAGTTTACTCCGCCTCTATCAACTTCTTCTTCAGAGCTGAGGTTGGTAGAAAATGATTTCTGATTTCTCCAACGTGGTGAAGTCTTGATTGATGATGAGTAGCTGCCTTTTCACAAGGTTCAAGACTTCCTTAAGGTGAAAGATAAGGATTGATGAGCTTCTTCAAGTATACTTGCACCTTAACATTGGTTTACAAAAGCTTAGAGAGCTGAGAGCGTTTTTAAGAGCTTTTGTTTATAGATCGATCGAGTGATAGAAGAACCAGCACCTTCTTAGTTGATGAAGGTGGGTTTATATAGGTGATGAAAATTCATCCGTTGGAGGGAGATGAAATTTTCAAACTTTTTATCCAGTGGGTAAGGACCGGGGAGCTTCATGCGTTAATTGCACCATTAATGCGGTTGTACCATGTAGCCGTTGAAGGTATGGAGTGCATTAGGGTTTTTGTCCTTTAGCTCCAGGGGATAGTACATCTTCATTTAATGCTCCTTGGTAATGGTGTCCCACAAGTTGAGGTCCTTTTGTTCCTAGGATGTTGTCAAATCAGACAGACATAACATTCTTCTTGTTGTTGTGAAGAAGGAAATTCTTGGTGAGATTGGTCTTTAACAAATCTGTCCTTTCGAGGTGGTTGACAACTCCTGATGAATTCTCGTTACTGTTTGTCATGACTTGTGTCTTCTTTCGTCTTGGAGACCCTATTGACTAAACTTAGCTCATTTTCGTGTGTTTGTCTAGCTTAACACGAATCACAGGTCAGCTATGGCAACTTTCGTTTAGGACGAAAGCAGCGTTTGAAAAAGTTAATAGTTAGGGGTCTACTTTCTACATTACATTGGTATCATCAAAATCCTAATACAAGCTTCCTAACAATTTCCCCCTTTTTGATGATGCCAAAACCTATACTATTCTTGTAAGGCTGATAAACATTCCATAATGGATTTTCTATTATAAGGGCAGCCATACTTGAGAGTTTACAAGTCTTTTCTAGATGAAAGCGATAATAAGTAAGACAAGGACAAATAACTCAGACAAGTGACACGAGATGTGTGACAATTAGAGCTTTATATTAAGATGGTGGAAATTACAAAAACTCTATAGAGAAAGCATAACGAAAGGATATCTTACATTTCCAAGAGCTTTGACTTCTGTTGTTCAACTTCCTTATTCTCACGGTCATCCCTTTCCTTTTGTTGCTTGAGCATTCTTGTGAAATCTATTTCCTCATTAATCCTTTGTCTAAAGATCTTTATTGGATTTTTCTTGACAAGGTGTTCATGTTTTCCTTTGATGTTCAAGCTTGTGTAATTGTTGTAGGCTTCACGAATGTTTCTTCCTTCGACTATTCCAGCCTTCCACCACGAGATTAGTTCAAACGAGTTCATTCCTTCTTGATAACTTTTTCCTGACTCAGTGTGCACTTTAAAAGCTGCATTGTGAATAACACCTGGTGGAGAGTCTTTGGTTACACTGGAAAATCTTCAATGAGCTTCTTTATCCTTTCTCTTTCCTTTGATTCATCCTCTCTCCTCTTGATTTCTTCATCATGTTTCTTCCATAGCTCTCTGTTTTCTCTTTTGATCCTTTCATTTTGGGTGCTTATATGATCTTGCCTTGTATGATTGTCCTTTGTCTTGAGCCAGACAGGGACATTGCAACCTTCAAAACGTTTACCGCTTCCTTCTTCATAAGGCACAAAATCTACAAAGTTTCCTATGCCATCCATAGTTACTTTGTTGTTCCTTATGAGTTTCTGCCTTAGATTTTTCTTTTCTCTCCTGGAGAGACCTGTGAAGATATATTTGGCTTCAGAACCATAAGATTGACGAGGCTTGAGTGTTATAGACTGATGTCGTCCATGATATCTTGATTGTGAAGAATGATGGCCACGAGACTTGGAGGATAGATGTGATGGATTCGTGTTTCTCTGACCAGAGTCTCTTGGTATCCGAGAGGGAGAATGTCGATGTTGTTCCTTTGGAGATGGTTCTTTCGTGTTATCTCTCGGATGATCATCATATTTATCTTTGTCATCATTGTTTCTCTTTTCCCCCCTTTTTGGCATCATCGGCACAAGTGGACGGAGGAACAGTGGAGAGTTTATTCACAGCCAGTAAAATGTCCTGAGTATATCCGAGAATTTGAAGAGCATACTCTCCCAGTTGGTAGGAATTATCTTGTGAAGTATCTATCTACGTGCATGCCAAATCAACACGCTCTTTAAGGCTGAAATGAGAGTGTTTGAGCTCGTGTTGCTGCCGTGCAACTTTGTTTATGGAGGTGTTGAGCTCATGAAGCTTCTTTGCAATCCTCTCAAGGAACTTGTGATCAGTTTGAGCTCGTTGAGGCTGTTGAGGTTTTTTTGGAGGTGGAGGCCAAGATTGCGATTGGGCAGATATTAGGAAATCAACCTTTTTGCTTAAATCATTTAGCACTTTCGTGTCCTTTTGCCTGAGAACCAAATATTGCAAATGAATGGTCTCGGCTGCATTGACAGTTTCTTTCATGTGGTTCATGATAGTCCGTGGGGACTCTGGGTTGATTCTTCTTCAATATTCGTCGATGTGTCCATTTGTTCATCTTGAGGTGGTGCTTCCCTTTTTCCATCACTTGCCGAGCTGAGAAGAATAGGTGAGGCATCCATTTTTCCCTCAGGAGCTTCTTCTCATTTGATTGGAGTCTCGTCCATGGGAGGAAAGTGCGGCACTATTGCACGAGACATGTCTTCGGGATGATCAGATAGAATCTGCTTAGCTTGGTGTGATGCTTCCCTTGTTTCATCACTGTCAGATGACAACTTTCTCAAAGGGGAACTTTGAGGATATGTTTCATAATCAGGGCCAATCAATAGTGGGGATTGACTGTCATAATCGGGCTCAGCTTCTTTGGTGACATTATTTCCCATATTATCATCATCATTGTTGTCATCATCATCATCATCATCATCATGCTCATCATCTGCATCTTCGACATCTTTGTCATCATTATCTTCATTTTCCTCATCCTCATTACTTTCGTCTTCCTCAATTTCTCGTCCCAGCTCATCTTTCGAGCCACTGGTATTGCAATTCGGATCATTCTGATGTTCCTTTTCTAAAGTGGTTTTGATTTTTGATAGCAATAATGCATAGCGGAGTTGCTTCATCTCTTCTTCAACAGCTGGATCCAAAGGTGGTTTCTTGAGTTCAATGCAGATTGGAGCTTTGTCCTTTCCAAGAGTGCGATTGGTCATTTTGTAGGAGAAAACTCGACTTATTTCTTCAAGTCGAAGTGCTTTGTAGACATCTTCTATGCCAATCCACTGTAGGGCAAACTGTTCTTCGTCTTGCATGGCTTCAAAGGTTTCAATGAATGTACCTAGGGGAGCTGTACGCCACTTTTGCCACTGCAATACACGCTGATAATCACTTTCAATGGATTCTGGGAGCACTTGATCTCGTGTTGGAAGTGGAACAGTTGCTTCGGGAATTGGTGCTGCTTCTTTCGGGATAGTCGCGTTCACTGTTGGTACCACAGTTGTCTCGTCTACCAACGCAGGTTCTTGTGTCAGAATTACCTGCTCTGTATTGGTAGGTTCTTGTGGCAGAGACGGATTTTCAATCAACACATCAGCCACTTCTCTCGTCTTTTCTGGTAAACTAGGTTCTTGTGGAAGACTTAAGCGACTGGCCTCCATTTCCACATATGCAGGTTCTTGTGTCAACCCTTGAGAGAGTTGCTCTGCCGGAGTGGGTTCTTGTGGATGGGGGACTTGAGAAGAGATGAGATCAAGTTCTGGTACTTGACGGTTAGAAGGACTTTCTGGAGAGTCAGTTCTCGGTTGATCTTCCCCCCTGAGGAGATACTTCTTTCGTTTGTGCTGATTTCGGTATCTCGTCCATCTTCGGAGAGGTGTCATGCTTTATTTTCACAGTTGAACGAAAGCGACCTCTTTTTCCGAGCCTTGATAAAATCAAATTGTCTTCTTCGGAAGAGTCTTTCACAATGATTGGTTCTGGTGATGGAGGAGGTGGAGATGGATTTTTCGTCTCTTGAGGAGATTTTGGAGGCGTTGGTAACGGTTGTACATCCACCGTGTTCTTTCCTTTAACCCGAGAGGGACGTTTTTCTCTCTTTTGACGTTTGGGCTTAGGTTGATCATCTTCTGATGCCTTTGGAGTTCTTGACTTCCTTTTGGCTTTAACCAACTCAATAGGAATTCCCAGCTCTGATGCCTTCTGCTTGTCATAACCTGATGTGTGTAGTGGTGGAATGAAAAAGGTAAGGTATGATGAGAAGAGGGTTTAAGTAGGGTTTTATTTGGATCCGGGTAACTAGATATGGGTAACCCATTTAGAGATGGATTATTTGAATTTTTTAAAAAATGTAACCGGTTCCTCTTCTCCATATGGTAACTGATCAGGGTGGGGGAATGATAAGATCGTGTGCATATCAAATTTGATCATTCCATTATTTAATGCTGAGAGAGAAAGGTACTCAAGTATCTGTGGGTGCATTTATTGCACGTCAAATCTTGTGTCAGACAAGGTGGGATAGTGGACCATTTTTCTCGGCCACACGATCCCCATGATGACTCATCTAAACGGTTTTGATTAGAAGCCATAGATGAAACGTCTTAAGCACGATTCCAAACCCGAAGATAGATAAAATTATCACAATAGAAGATTTGTAAGACAAATAAAGTCAAACAAATCCTTTTTTTTTACAACATACAAATAAGGTGCATTATCCAAGAAATTTATTACACAAAACAGACATGATAATAACGATTACTATCTCTCGTGCGTCATTAGGCAAGTGAGCCTTTACAGAATGCCAGTCTTCTTCTTTCGTGCATTCTCAAAATACTCCTTCTTTCGGATCTCATGAGCAAACACTTTTGCTATGATTATTTCGTGATCCGTCCCCATTGCATCTCTAGAGAGACCACGTCTCTCCATGTCATCTAGTTCTGCCATGACTTTGGCTTTAGCACCAGCGTATAATGCACGATATCTATCTTCGTGTTTCAGAAGTGGTGTAAGTTGCACAAGTGAGTAGAATTCTGAGATGTCTGGTGCCTTTCCAGAAGATGAACCCTTCTCAATTGAGCTTCCGAGATTACGACGAGAGTTATCTTCGGACACAGATAAGCTTTTGGTTGTGAGAACCATTTCTTTCCCTTTATCCATGAGTTTATGAAATGCGAGAAGTGAGTCCATTATCGAATAAGAAGATCCATTAAATAGATAGATATGCGTCTCAAAAGATGTGTCCCGAATGACTTGGCCTAGGCATGCCTTAGAGAATATGTTCATTTCCAAGAAAGTTGTACTAGATTCGGGATACTTTTAGATAGATGTGAACGAGACAAGTAAAGTCTTGTTCACTACTTTTAAAATAAACAGAACCAACGGGATTTTATTATTCATAATAACGAGAGATGACAATACATAAGATGAGATACATAATCCAAAGGATTAGTTTTTCTTTCTCTCGATTTTCTTGACCCCAGACGACTCAGCTTTCGCCTTTTTCAGATTTCCCCACATCTGCTTGTACCATTTTCCTGTACGAGGGTAGTTGGAACCAGAAGAAGATTCAGGTTCTTCCCCCTTAGCCTTTGCCTCATTTTCAAACTTACCTTTCATAAGATTGGAGAACTTTTCACATAAGATTGGATTCGTGCTTCCGAAGATGATGTCATCAATGTAAATTTGAACTAATAGAATATGATCCTCATCTTTTATACGAAAGAGTGTTTTGTCTACAGCTCCTTTCGTGAAGCCATAATTGATAAGAAAATATGAAAGAGTATCGTACCAAGCCTAAAGAGCCTTTTTGAGGTGATAGACCTTCTCGTGCTCATTATTAATTGCAAAACCAGGTGGTTGTTCAACATATACTTCTTCTTCAAGAAGTCCATTCAAGAAGGCACTTTTGACATCCATTTGATAGACTTTGAAGTTTTTATAGGCTGCAAATGCCAGAAATATTCGTATGGCCTCCAGTCTAGCTACGGGGGCAAAGGTTTCATCAAAATCAATTCCTTCTTCTTGGCAATACCCCTTAGCAACGAGACGAGCTTTGTTCCTAACAATGAGCCCATCTTCACTCATTTTGTTTCTGAAGACCCATTTTGTTCCTATGACATTTTGATGGGATGGTCTCGACACAAGTTCCCATACTTTGTTTCGTTCAAACTGATGGAGTTCTTCCTGCATTGCTATTACCCAATCAGGATCATTTAAGGATTCTTCTATGGACTTGGGTTCCATTTGAGATAGAAAGCATGCCATCATGTTCTCATGCAAGGAGGCTCTTGTTCTCACACCTTCTTGGACATTTCCAATTACTTGATCTGGTGGGTGATCTCTTAACCACCTAAGGTCAGGTTCAAATGCATCTTGTTGATTTTGAACGTCCATTTCAGGAATATATGGTAGATCAATGTAAATCATTGGTTCGGATGTTGTGGTGATGATAGGATCATTCTGTTGAGTTGTGACCTTCTCTTGAGTTATATGTTCGGGTTCTGAAACCTTTAGCTGATATTTCGTGTAAGATGAAAGTATATCTTCTTCGTCTGAAATTTCTTCATCAACATGTTGCTGAAGACTTTGACTTGAGTTGTTTGATGTCTTAATTCCAGATGGGTTCCTCTCAGATTGTTCATCAAATTTAACATGAATGGATTCCTCAATAACCATTGTTCGTTTGTTTAGGACTCTGAATACCATGCTTACTGAAGAATATCCCATGAACAATCCTTCATCAGCTCTTTCGTCAAATGCCATTAAATGATTCTTTCCGTTGTTGTGTATGAAGCACCTGCAACCAAAGACATGAAAGTAACCAATACTAGGTATTTTACCTTTCCATAGTTCATATGGTGTTTTGTTGTGGGTTTTGTTGATCAGGGATCAATTTTGTGTATAGCATGCCGTATTTATAGCTTCGGCCCAAAATCTCTTTGGTAGACCTGAATGCGAAATCATTGTCCGTGCAGCTTCTTTCAGGGTTCTGTTTCTCCTTTCGGCCACTCCGTTTTGCTGATGAGTTCGTGCTGCTGAGAGTTGATGAAGAATTCCATTTTGTGCACAAAACTCTTTTATAACTTTGTTGACAAATTCAGTTCCCTGATCAGATCTTATTCGAACTATTTTGACCTCCTTTTCTGTTTGAAGTTGTCTCAAAAGATTGGGAAGAGTTGTTTCTGTTTCATTCTTCTTTTTCAAGAAAAGTACCCAAGTATATCTCGTGTAGTCATCTACTATGACGAGAGTATACTTCCTTCCGCTCAAACTTGCTGGATCAACTGGTCCAAAGAGATCCATATGTAGAAGACTTAGAGAACGAGAGTTTGCATCCACATCTTTCGACTTAAAAGATGACTTGATTTGTTTTCCTTTTTGACAAGCCTCACATATTTTATCTTTTGTGTACGATGTTTCAGGCAGACCTCTCACGAGATTTCTTTTTGCAAGCTTGTTAATAGTTTTCAAGTTTAGATGGCTTAGTTTGTTGTGCCATTCTTGATTGAGATCTGCATTACTTTTGGCCACAAAACAAACGTTAGCGTTAGAAGAAATCAATGATATTACATACATGTTCTTCTTTCGTTGACCCGTTAAGGCTGTCTTGCCATCCTTCGTGTTCACGATTTGACATTCGTCTTTTGGGAATTCAACTTTATATCCCTTATCACAGAATTGACTTGTGCTTAGGAGATTGAACTTCAGTCCTTCAACATAAGAGACATCTTGTATTGTTAACCCCTTCTTGATAATATCTCATTTTCCACAAGTTTTTCCACTATTTTCTCCTCCAAAGATGACTTCGGGTCCATCTACTTCTATGAAGTTGCTCAGCATCGTTTTATCACCAGTCATATGTCTTGAGCATCCACTATCAACATACCATATGACTTGTTTTTCCTGCATCAAAGATTATATGTTTTTAGGTACCCCTTGAGTTTCGGGTCCTTGAGGGTTAGCAGTCAACTTTGGAACCCACATCAACCTAGAGTGTCCACGACTCATCCTTGGTCCTCTATATCCGTTAGACGTGCGATAATCATAATGAATGTTGGCAAAGACTTTAGCGTTATATCTTTTACGAAAGTATTCCTGAGGAGGATTTTCATAACGCTTGAGATGATTAGTTTGTTTACGCAGATGAATCTTTTCAAATTCCGCTCTAGAGAGAGGTTCTGGGTAATCAAACCAATCTTCCTCTGATGGCCTAGTCCATCCATTGCCATAACCAGATCTTGTGAAGGATCTTTCGTTTTGTCTGACTTATCCGTTTCTTGAAATTCCTTGAGTAGGATTCTTTTGTGTAAGTTTCGGATGATATTGCCTCTGGTTAACATTCGTCTGTTTCTTGGAATGAGTATTCCAATTAGGCTGACCTCTTTTATGGTATAGATCTCGTCTATTGCCATTTGGTCCATTCCTTCTGACATAGATCTGTCTATGATTGCCTTTAACGGATTTCTCTTTTCCAGATTCCACAATTCGTTGTACAGCCCTTCCTTTCGGTTAGCTTGTTGATTGTGGTGTTTCGACATTGTTAACTACCATCATAGGCTCAGACACCTGGGTGGGTCCTTGAACAAATGTTGTTTGAAAACTCTCGTGGGAGTAAGCATTAGAAGACTTGTTCAAGCCAACTTGTGAAGAGGAGCTGGGGTTAAAACCAATTCCGGTTCTTTCCCCGGGCAGTCTAGATTCGTTCACCATTCGGTCCATTAAGTTGGACGAATTGTTGAACTTATCCAAGACTTCACGCAATTGTTACTCTCTCTTTTCTCTTTCTGTACACTGCTCCTTTAGAACGAGAACATTTTCCTCGAGTTGCCTCTTAGCAATGGCTAGCTTAATGTTCTCTATTCGAACTTGCCTTAGCGCATTATAGCTAGTCATCAGTCGAGAGTTCTCCTCTTTTAGCTTAGAGTATGTGTTCTTAATTATTTTAAACTCCCTCATTGTTAGGAATAAATTGTAATGGTTTTGATATGCCAAATTTGTATTTGTAGATCCCCCAATTTTATTTCATTGGTCTTGTAGAGTCTTAGACCATGATCGGGAAATTATTTAATTATCAAAAGAGAAAAACAGAGGAAAATGGATGAAAATAGAAGAAGAAGATATAAAGCCGAAAATCAAGAATTTGTCTGGAGAAAATGACAAATTGAAGAAGAAGTTGAATGATATGAATTCACGTCGCTACTACTCAAAGAAGATATCCCAGAAGAATTTTCGTGAAGAAAATTAATATTGGAAGAATGCATGAAGTTGACTTAGAGATCAAGCATCTATGGAAAGAAAGAAGTACATCAAATGTGATTGGAGATTTAATCAAAAGCTGTACGGACGAAGTGGATGATGCTTGATATATAATCTGAAGTGGCTTAAGTTCAAAACTCACCATCAATAATTTTACAAGGTAAAATTTGAGAAGTCAAATTAAATTAATCTGATGGAGTTGGGCGCTAGTTTAAGCTATGGGCGCCGATTACAAGTGGAAATTGGGAAGCAATTTCACTTGGGTGGCAATTGAGATGCAATTGCACTTGGGAGCCGATTTCATAGAAATTGAAATTGGGAGCTAGTTTCGAAGCAATTGAAATTGGGAGCCAGTTTCACTTGGGAGCCGATTTCATAGAAATTGAAATTGGGAGCTAGTTTCGAAGCAATTGAAATTGGGAGCCAGTTTCAGTTTAAGCTATGGGCGTCGATTACAAGTGGAAATTGGGAAGCAATTTCACTTGGGTGGCAATTGAGATGCAATTGCACTTGGGAGCCGATTTCATAGAAATTGAAATTGGGAGCTAGTTTCGAAGTAATTGAAATTGGGAGCCAGTTTCAGAGAAATTGAGATCAATTGAAATTGGGAGCCAGTTTCAGAGAAATTGAGATTAATTGAAATTGGGAGCTAGTTCAGAGAAATTGAAATTGGGAGCAAGTTTCAAATGGAATCAATTCAAGTTTAAAAGAAGACATTGAGGAGCAATTGAATTGAGATGAAATTCAAAGAGAAGTCCAATTTCGAAGTCAACATCGAGCACCAGGAGATGTTGGGAGCCAATTGCAAGTCAAAGTCAATTGGGAGCCAATTACAAAGGAGAAATTCAAATTGGGTGCCAATTACAAGCCAATTGAAATTGGGTGTCAATTACAAAGGAGAAATTCAAATTGGGTGGAAGTTCAAAGCCAGT